GATGTTTCAGGCCTCACGCAGCAGAAATGTCAGCTCACGATCTCATGCTTTGCTTCCAAACAGCCCAGTTCTCTTGTAATCTATTCAAGTGGTTTTGATCAATAGTTCTTCAGGCTTTCTGGATGTTTTTTAGAGTCTGGATGGATGGATGGCAATGGATTTCTGTTTTTGTTTGTTGAGGTTACGTAACTTTAACTTGAGTCATTMGTGCACAAAAAAGCTCCTAAACTTAACAGTTGAACCAGTTTTATGTCAACATATAGACAATTTTCTTAGTTTTGAATCCAGTTTTAAAATAAACAGGTATTTTGTGGATAAAACCAGATTTAACAAAAAAGAGTAAGATTTTCTTCCATATTAAAAAACATTGGACTAACTCATTATACACTTTTTTAAATAATGGGACATGGTTGTTAGGGTACGACGTGTGTTTGACCCACTTTCACAAGATGCATTAGTTTCCAATCAATTTGTCCAATTTGACTTGGAGCTATTTGGTTCCATTAGTGGTCTAATTGCATCTTCATTCTACCTAAGAGAAAAAAAAACTAATTGTATTGCTGTTTCACAGGCTGTGCTCATTAGTTGTTGCGTTTGTTCAAATCAGCTCAGTTTTAATTTGCTTCATGTAAAACCCACAGATCCGCTCCGATGAAGTCGTCGTGTGGACGTGAAGGCGTGCGCAGAGAGTCGTGGTTTTGCCGTGTAACTGCAGAACTCGTGTACAACACCAGTCAGCGTCACTCAGCCGTCCCTGCCGCCTCGCCTGAGGGGAAGTAATCGAGCTGCTGCTGCGGCGCGACTCTTAGCAGAGCATCGCTGTGACAGCTCTGACAGGAGTCATCAATCATTTGTCCTCCTGTCCCTGCCGGCTGTCCCCCCGTTTGTCCCCTCCCCACCTCATCAGCTCTATTAACTCCACGCAGACAAAGAGCAGATCATCAAAGCTTTGTGACACGAGCAACACGCCGCCTGTCACGTCAACTGAAAATGTACGACGCCTCCCAATAAGTGATGCTGAAAGGCTTGTAAATTATACGCACTATATAATAATCCTCAGCTCTACTGTCAACAACACGACAAAAAATCAAAAAGTACATTTGAAGGTTCTCTTAATGGTGATTTAAAACTTCCTGGAACATAACAGAATGTTGATGATTCATCCAACACTCCTTTGATTTTTGATAAAATCCTGCCTAGTTTTTGGTATTTTTCCATCACAAAAGAGCAGAGGTTTATAGTAACTAAGTACATTTACTTTGCTACAGTACTTAAGTAATTTTTTTGAGGATTTGTAATTTTACCAAGTATTTTTACTTTTACTTAGTTACTTTTAAAACCTAAAAATTATACTTTTACTTGTTTAACACCTAGTTACTTGTTATAATTTAAATCTGTCTAAACTCATCATGAAAGGAGTTGTTTATGTGCTCTAAAAAAGTTAAGTGTTGAATTTACTCAACTAAATCATATCTATTTACACTAAACTTAGTAGAGTAAATTTGAGGCAATATACATATTTTATGCTAAAGAAATTGACCAATTTAATTAACTTGGTTTTGTGGAGCCAGTTTGGTTCTGTAAATTTAACAGTGTATTTGTTAGAGAGCGTGGAAAAGTACTTTTACTTCTACTTTCCCAATTTTTGTGAATGCTTTTATAACTTTTACTTAAGTCGTTTTTTCATCAGTGACATTTATTTTTACCAGTCATTTTCTGTTAAGGTATTTTTACTTTTACTTAGTTATTTTTTCAAGTACTTTATAGACCTCTGCAAAAGAGCTTCCTTTGGTTCACGGTCCCGTCGGCTATTGAAATGTAAAAATTGGTCTCAGATCACATGGAGCCACGTCTGACCATCAGGCCTATCTGCCTCTTTATTATAGCTGCATGTTTTTGCTACGAGGAACAGGTTCATCTGAAATTTGCTCAGGTTAATGTGCCTTGAGATTTGCCCACATGAACACTCTGTGCAGCGGATGCTATTACTTAGTGTTTTCATAGGTTAATGGATCATGATGGAAGAAATGGAGCTTTCAGAAGGATGGGACCATTTCGTATCAAATGTACCTTTTCTTTATAGCTTTAATAAACAATAACTGCCAGCGTTTGGAGCATAAAGAATTGGTAAAAAATGTGACACTAGTTTTACAACATTATTATAAATGATTGGATGATTTTGCATGCCTGGTGGTTTTCTGGTGGACTTCAAATCATTGGCCTCTCCGGAAAATGTTCCCCCGTTTTTTTGGTGACATCCATGTGAATCCGAGGCCTCAAAACATGGTTAAAAGATAAAAATTGCCTGCTTCAAAATGTAGCTTYAAACGGTGTCTCAGATGGGCGAGTGTTCCCCTCAGAACGCAAGTCATTACCCGCAGCAGGAACCAAATATTTTGTCGGAGAAATGATGATGCTGTAAACATTTGAACACTTGTCATCCTTCACTCGCTGGCAAACAGTGGCAGTACCTGCAGCTCCTGCTGCCAACAACAAACAAGCTTCTTGTTTTATTCAACGTCTCATCATTTCCACACACTCCCAAGTCAGTTCTCTGTTGATGACATTTGTCTTAGTCATGAAAAGGGCAGGAATCACACCGGCACGCTGAAATCTGAAGTCATTTCATGTCAGAATGACTCATGACCTTTAAGTAAGACTCTGGTGCAAATAATTAATACTTTAATATGTTCCTTCCGTTGCTCAAAATTACCTAATTATTCATACTTTCCTGGTAAATTGTTTAATTATTGCTTTCAGTACTTCTTTAAGTAGCCACTTGAAAAAGAATGAGTCGGCTCCCACCTTTTCCTGAGTCAGAGAAATTAGGTTGTGCAGCTAAAAAAAAGYGTCACTTTATTATCCTCCTGTTGAGTTCACAGCGATGTGGCATCTGAGCCGGACCCCACAGCTCCAGGCCTCTTTGGCTTCAGCATCTGCTGGTAAAAAAAAAAAAAAGTTTCAAGCAGAACCTTCATAAACCAACTAATAGGATCCTGCTGCTGCCCTGAATAAAGAGCCAAACAGGCTGGGAATGAAGGGTAAAGCTCTTTCTTTTTATTAGATGTTCTTACTTCAACTCAAACTTCATGTAAGTTTCATTAAAACAATCCGTAGTATCTCTCACATGATACAATGATGGAGCACAGGAAGTTCAGTGGAGAGGAGCTCAACACTTCCTCAGGCTCTGAGACATAAAAAAAACTTTAAAGCTGATTTAAAAAAGTCAGATTTTCTCTATATATCTGTATTCATGATGCAAATGAGGACATTTTATGTAATTTACAGACTATCAGTATAATTGTGAAGTTATTTTAGGATTTTCAGTTTTATCTAGACATTTCTCAGTAAGTATTTTTGAACCTGATCCGATGCAGTGATTGGTCCATGCCAGGGGTTTGTAATGACGTCATCCAAGATCAGCTTTGCAGCAAAGTGTCATAATTCAGCTCTGAGACACTTAAGATTTACTCTTACAATTAAAGTTAGACAGAGACGCTTCATCAATGACTTTTAGGTTCAGCTTTTAGCTAAGAATGTTTTTACACTGAAGTCCATTCTTAACAGCATTTTTAAGAGTAATTTTAAGATTGATAAATATGGGCCCTGAATGGAAAGATGCCTCTTAAATGTTAGCTTCTTATTTTAATAAGACATCCAGAAAAACCACCTTAAACTGGTTCCTCTGGATGTGGGTCTCTCCTCGAGAACTGAACTTCTCACCCTATGATTTTTTTCATAACCCTGCTATAAATTGGCATATAAAAAATAAACCCTGAGACATTTTTCCACCTGTAGAGCTTACCTTACCCCTCTGAGGACCTGAGCCTCGGGTTCTGACGAGCTGATTCACACATAATAAATTAAACTTCTCCATTGACAGATTATSATATTAGGGAAGCTAAGAGCTGGTTCATCCCACATTACTTGGCGCAGGGTCTTAGATGAGATAAAACATGTAGGAGGTGTTTATAGCTACAAATACCATTATGAAATTTAAAAAAACTAAACATGTTAACTGCTCATATAAATACCAAAGTGTAAAGAAAACAAATGCCGTGTTTGTGACTAATGACACAATAGTTTGAAACAAGGGAGGTGTTGTGTACCCCACACGTCTTTATTCTGCTCTTCAGATTGTAGCACATTATAATTTTAATCACTCCAGTAAATGAGAAATCCTTCTTTCTTGGCAGTTTAGGCGGACAAAGGATAAAAATCACACCAGAAAATTAAGTTCACTGATCATCAGTGTAGGGCTGTCTTTTTATGCAGCATCCTCCTGAGGTAACCATGACTTTGCTKGTTAAATAATTCAGAATGGACCGCCATATGTGGCAGGGGGGAGTCTGCCAAAAACAAGATTAAATTGCAGATGTGTCGTCGCTCAAAACCAATGTTTTGCTTCCCCGCTGGTGAGAGAAGAGGTCATTTAAATTGTATGTAAACACAGTTAGGTAGCCTGGATGGATGGGTCTGCAAACACAACATCCTGGTGCCTAACAGGACCCTCAGAGGCTGGTCCAGGACCCCCAGAGGGAGCCTGGTCTCTCCTGTAAAACAGATCCTCCAAACCCAGACTGAGCGGTGCTGAGCTGGTGAGGCTTTGTGGTCAGTTTGATGTGCTTCCTGGTAGTTCACAAACCCCGCCCCCCATAGAGTATGCCTTTAGGATTTGTTTATTTWCTGTGAATTTATCTGTCAATAATGTCAATCCTGTTTAGTCTGGTTCTCCAGTTAAAACTTTTTTTAATGCCTCTTCTTAGTTGTCAAGGTCCGTTTGCTCTTATTGTGGGCACAGAATATCACCAATGGAACAAAAGTCAACGTTTATCATATGTGTTGATAATTAGCTGTAAGAACAATGAGTCCCCACGAGGACGTTCATTTCAAATGATCCAAATTAGGCAGCTGGATTAATTTTCTCYCCAGTGGCTGTGTTTGTGTGCCAAGAAGCCTTTTTTTCTTCACAAGTCATTTCTGTCTGGTCTGTCTTTCAGCCACGCTGGGAACCCTGGAGTTCAGTTTGCTGTACGACCAGGAGAACAACGCACTGCACTGCACCATTAACAAAGCCAAGGTGAGCCGTCGCAATTCATTTAAATTATCACTCTGCAAAAGATTTATCTGTAATTACTGCCACTTAGTTCCGTCTGCTTTTATCAGAACCACCTTCAGCCTTTTTTTGGTTGTGCTTTATGTCACCAGTTCTTATGAAACACGTCTCGTTCTGCACAAACACCTGTCACTGTGAGAAGATTAGTCTGAACTCACATTTTGTTATAATTTATCAGATAAAATGTTTGTTTGGATGCTGTTACAAACAAATTATGACTTTACACATCCCACTGCGATGTTAGAGAGAACTGCACTGTTTTTTGTTTTATCCCATGAGACAACTCAATCACAAAATATACARTATTGGACTTTGGCTGCTTTGTTGCTCAATTCTTGCCCACGATTAATCGATTAATCCCCTGGAGTCCCTGGATGCCTGCATGCCCTAGTCACATGACCAATTTAAATCACTCTAATGGGAAAGGTTTGCTCCATAAAAATCTGTTTCAAAATGTCTTAAAAGTTCAGACTTCAGGCTACACATCAGTTTTTAAATTGTGTTGATAGGCAGGGTAAAACCTGAGTTATGATAATAAATTGCAGAACTTTTTTAGTCCAAACAAAAGAATAAAGCTTCTCTCGCTTTGACCTTTGCTCCTGATATTCTGCTGTTTTCTGTCTGGGTTGGTGAATTCATCATCTGAACCAAACAGCCAAGCAGAAACAAACATTTTAAGAGTTTTTTTTTTCTGTTTTTCTGCTGTGATGAAGTGATGTTTGTGACGTGGTGGCCACCGTCAGCAGCTATAACTCTTTTGTCTGCATGAATAGCTGGTTTGGAGGAAAGTGGAGCCGTTCTTGGCAGGAGTGTTGCACAGCAGAGCGGGCATAAGGCCACGGTGATTTATGGCTGTTATTTTCTATACTGCTCTGCTGCTAGACTTCAGCTGCTGCCTGACCAAGCACTGAAAATCATTTTTGCTCTTTCATATATTGTATTATGGGCCCATTTCCACACCTTAATTGGTTTGCTAAACCCACCCCGACTTTTTACCAGTGTTTCTTTTTGTTGCAAATCTGCTGTTGCTCTAATAAAACCTGCGAGCAACTAATCCTCAGGTAAGCACTTTTCCAGGGAGATGCCATTGATTRTGGCTCGTGATAAAAACCTGAACAGGAACCGTTTTGCTGAAACCACATAACTGATAGTGAGGATTAAAGTGGATTTGAAAGAAGTGTTCATGCATTTATAATAAACAGTTATTTATTGTGTGTCGAATCACTGTTATCATAGCTCTGAGATTTGATTTGGGAAAATAAGTCAAAAAGTTTCCAACCAGCAAAACTACAGTATAAGAGGTTAAATAGAAGAAAAAAGGCCACTGAATATGTTTTAAATCTTATAATGAAAATAAAATAACAGGATTTTTTAAACTGTGTTTGATGTAAAGAAAAACACTTTATATTTCAGATCAAAGATCTTCATGACCCTATTATCCTGCATGTTGTAGCTGTTTCCCTGCTTCAACACACCTGATTCAGTTAATTAAATTACCTTTTCACAATGTTGTCAAGTTTTGCAGCAGCCCATTCTCTCAGGTGTGTTGAAGCAGGGGAACATTTACGTCATGAGGACGAGGATTCATTTATACAACCTTTCTTAAATCAGGAAATAACAGATCCAAATCCAAAACACACCAACACAGACAAACTAAATTCAGAGACTGAAGGTGTGTGGGATGGAGGGAAATTTAGCAGCATCAACTGGACCAGCTCCACCACCAAACCCTCCTCTTCCAAGTCTGGAGGAAAGGAAAGAAAAAGGCCCGCTGCCAGCATTTGGTTTGTCCCTTCTCAGTTGCTGTATGAGCTAAATTTTGGTGTAGTAGTTGCTGAGAGTCAGCCTCAACAGATACTCTGAGCGCTGACAGAGTGTGTGAGATTTTTAGATTTTAGTAGCAAGGAAGCAGCTAACACTTTTTCTGTTTTTCAGCTCTTTTTTTTTTTAGCTGTTTGGACTTTCTGTCTGTAAAAACCTGAACAGCACGTGTGAAGCAAGGTTACAATAGTTTTAATTCAGTTAGTTTTAATTTGTTTTTACAGTGGATTTTCTCGTTTTTATTAGTTACTATTGCATTTTTAATGCTTAGTTTTAGTTTAGTTTCGTTTTTATTAGTTGTAGTATATTTTTTAAAATAATTTGAATAAACATATTTGCCAATGCATCCTCCAGCTTGTGATGTTCCTGTGAGTTAACTAACCAACAGCTATGAGTCTGTCCATCGGTCTGTCCATCGGTCTGTCCATCAGTCTGTCCATCGGTCTGTCCATCGGTCTGTCCATCGGTCCATCAGTCTCTACATCAGTCTGTCCATCGGTCTGTCCATCGGTCTGTCCATCGGTCTGTCCATCAGTCTGTCCATCGGTCTGTCCATCGGTCTGTCCATCGGTCTGTCCATCGGTCTGTCCATCGGTCTGTCCATCAGTCTGTCCATCGGTCTGTCCATCGGTCTGTCCATCGGTCCATCAGTCTGTCCATCGGTCTGTCCATCGGTCTGTCCATCAGTCTCTTTATCAGTCTGTCCATCAGTCTGTCCATCAGTCTGTCCATCAGTCCATCAGTCCATCAGTCTGTCCATCAGTCCATCAGTCTGTCCATAGGTCTGTCCATCGGTCTGTCCATCGGTCTGTCCATCAGTCTGTCCATCGGTCCATCAGTCTCTACATCAGTCTGTCCATCGGTCTGTCCATCGGTCTGTCCATCAGTCTGTCCATCGGTCTGTCCATCGGTCTGTCCATCGGTCCATCAGTCTGTCCATCGGTCTGTCCATCAGTCTCTCCATCAGTCTGTCCATCAGTCCATCTGTCAGTCAGGAACAGCTGGTTTGACTGAGACAATATTTGCAGAAACCCTCTGAATGATGGTGGTATCCATGAAGCCTGCAGAAGATCTCACCCCTTCATACTGTGACAGCAACATTTTAAATCTCCTCATTTTACAGATTCAGGATTTTCCTCCGATCCGGATCAGAACTCCACAGTGCCGTTTCGGTTGAATCTTATGACATCTGCGATCTGAAATCCTCTATTTTCGATGTCTCCGGAGCCTCACAAAGGCTTTAAAAATATTTGAAAAGGAGTTTCCCGCTGCGAGGAGACAGACACACATGTGGCACAGATTTCAAATCAGCCAGAACCAGCTGCCCCAGAAAATCCAGCCCAGGCCCAAAGTTCTGATCCAGGCCCTGCAGTGCTGAGCAGAACCCTATGGACTCCTCATTCTTTCTCTTCTGGGTGAATTAAACCTGTTTGTAGGATTCAGTTGCAGACCCGTGACCCGTCTGCTCAGAACCGCCCACTCCACAACCCAAATTAACACTTAAACAATCTTTGATTCTCCTCCGTCKGCAGGTCTGCCCTTTCTCTGCCGGGCACTCCCACACCGGTGTGGGAAAAACACACAAACCCACTGCAGCGCTGCACCTCTGAGATGTTCCTGCTTCTTTTTATTCACTTTCTGTTTATGTCAAGGTTTTAGTTATTTATTTATTTTGCTGCTTTTATATAAAAGATTTGATGAAAAAGTCTTTTTCTTTTCTTTTCCTGGTGTCGCAGACAAATGGAAGAGGAGAAATCAGAGCAGTAATTGTATGTATCTTTTCAGCGTGTCACATTTAGGCTCTAAATATTGATGAAATGTCTGATAGACCACAGGGCTGATCAGGGAGGATGAAGTGAAGCGCTGCAGCTCAGCCGCAACACAATCAATTGTGATTTCCTCTCTGAGCAGTTAATACTGGTTCTGTCAGGCCTTTGGCACGAGGCCGCTAGATAAACAATAAATTTCAAGTACGAAGGGTCTGCTAAGCTTTTTTTGTAAGATAGCCTTTTGTCAGGGTTGGGCTGCATTATCGGCCTAAAGGAGCATTTGATAAATATTGGAGACAGAATATCTGTTTTATGTCAGTTTGAATCTAAATAAAAACACTGGTTTCAGCTCGCCTGGCTTTATATCACAAATAAACCACTCCAGATATTTTGTGTCTTTGTTGGTTTTCCCAAAGAGGAAGATTTAAAATACTTTGCACCTGCTTCCTAACAAATCTGTGATCCACACATTGAACCCAGTTTTATGATTTCTGCTTCAGTGAGCTGCAGTTTTTTTTTCTGCACAGAACCCCAATCTGAAGATTTTACCTTTTTATTTCACATTTAGTTCAGGGAACAAGTTGTAAATGAAGAAAAATACATATTTTCCTTGACAAACCCAGAGTTTTTCAATTTTGCATCTATGAACACCAAGCAGACTGGAGACCACTCTAAGGGCAGGAAGTGGACTAGAACGCAGGGGATTCTGGGTAATAACTGTGATAAAGTTATTCATATCTTATAAGTACTGACGTCTGTATAAGGTGCACATCAYTGCTGTGAAGCTGGATGTGAGTGCTGCATCATACGGAGCCGTCTCAGTCACCTTGTGTGGAAAAATTTCTCCACGTTTCTTGTGTCAAGTGCAGCACTTCCCAACGCTCCTTGACGCGCATCCACCATAGAGTTTACATGAAAACCTGATGCTCAAAACGCGTTTGTGAACGCCAAGATGTTATTAAAAGAAGTTAGGAGGTAAACATCATCACCACACAAATGTTGAAATACTAAGATAATAAAAAGCGGGCGGTTGGCTGTGAGCGGACGGCATTCACGTCTGTTTGAAACAAACAAATTAGATCTGAGTTTGTGCAGATTTACTGGATCAACAAATCCACTCAACTTGTTTGTTTAAATATAAAAACTGCTTCTTCTTTTCTGTCTTTATTGTCTTTCTAAATGTTTGTTTTAATTTCACTTTTCTTGTTTTTTCCCCGCCTCTTTTCTTTTTGCATGCTCTCATGTCCCGTCTTTGTGTCGGTGCTTTATGTTCGAAGCTTCCTGTCCCCAGATACAAGAAGGTAAGCTGCTGAGATAAAGTGGAGCTCCACCCCRGCCCCCCCTTTAATCAATCCTTTAGGTTTATCCGATCCGATGGAAACACGACAAACACCTCCTGAACTCATTATCAGAGGGATGTTATTTCATTACTTTGTGGCAGAAAACCTGTTTCCTGTGAGAAGTTATTTCTGTCGTTTGTGCACAACTGTAGACRTTTAATTTTCTTTTAAAAGGAGAAAAGAAATGTTTCTCTATATTTACATGAATAGTAAGAGGGTTAGTCTTATTTTAATCTCATTTAATCCCTGTTATAAGAATGGAGTTCTGCGTGTTTGACAGACTTCTATCAAACTGTTGCATTTGTCAGAAATAAGACCCAAAAGCAGCACGCAGGCTTTTTTTAAAGCTTTGTTGCAAAAACATTTTGTCGTGTGAAGTGACGCGCAGCAAACTGAGAAGTCCATGAGCGGGTCTGAAGGCTGAACAGGAGGGAGTCTGAAGAAGAGAGCGAGCAGACGGGACACGCAGAGACGAGCTGGTGGCGGCGTGACAGATGGCGGAGGAGCAGGCGGGTTGGCTCTGTGACCGAAAAGAAGAAGAAAAAAAATCACACTGATTGAAACAAATTTGGTCCAGCCAGACTACAGATGATGGAATTATCTGGCAATCAAAGCCCAAACTGAAAGCGTTAATGTTGATAAATATTGGAGATGCAGGTGTTCGACACAACTACTACAATCTAAGATGTCAGTCAGAACACAGACCACCTGTTCAGGTGTTTTGAAAATGAATTCTCTGTTAGGCTGTGTATTGGCAAGAGTTTGGCGATACGATACATATCATGGCACAGGGTGACGATACGATATATTGCGATATATTGTGATACTGTAAGCAAGGCGATATATTGGGAGACACTTCAATTTGACTTCAAATTTGGACGCCGGATAATAAGGGACTGTTGGCAACCTTACCCCAGCTTAGAAGGCAGCGGTGTCAGTCTAATCCGCTCAGATTCAGCCATCGGTGCATGGAGCTAATGTTTACTCACAGTGCTAATGTTTACTCACAGTGCTAATGTTTACTTACGGTGCTAATGTTTACTCACGGTGCTAATGTTTACTCACAATGCTAATGTTTACTCACGGTGCTAATGTTTACTCACGGTGCTAATGTTTACTCATGGTGCTAATGTTTACTCACAATGTTAGTGTTTACTCACAGTGCTAATGTTTACTCACAGTGCTAATGTTCGTATGTTCGTATTTTTATCCTAAATTTCTCTTACTTTTGTTCGTACAAAGGGTTCATACGAACATGTCACGTCAGATTCAATAAACTCTTCTATCTTCAGGAAAAGTGCGTAAATGAGCTGCGTAAATTACACTTGTTCTATCCAGCTGCTCGTGCACGCGAGAGGAGATTAGCATAATTACCACCCCAAAAACACCATATAAGGCTATGATTCCT